CCCCCCCGCAGATGGCGAGAGGCTGGGGGAGGTGACCGATCCCGGCAGGCGGCCGGCGGCGGCCCAGGCATCGGCACGGCAGAGGAAAGCCGAGGACTCCAGCGAGAGCCGCGAGGAGGAGCCGATGGTAATGGGAGAGCCGGAGCGTGGGCGGGTGGGAAAGGACCTACGGAGGTCACTGGTCCGAGTCTCCTCCCCAACACGTGGCCAACTAGGGCAGGGTGCCCCAAGCCTCGTCCAGCTGAGCAGGTCCGGGGATGGAGAGGGCACAGCCTCTCTGGTTCTGCTCGGCAGCCCTTGTGGTGGATACGGAAAATCCCTCGTATCCCATTGGAACTTCTGGTGTTGTGCCGTGTGCCTCTTGCCATGCTCCCCTGAGAAGAGTCCGGCATCATTCTGCATCCCACTCTCGTGTAGCAGTCCATGGCGATAAGGTCCTCTTTGCTGGGCAAAGCCACCTCCTGCTGTGTCCTCTGCTCCATCTTGGTAACCTCCACTTGTCTGTCCTGGACTGGAGAGCCCCAAACTGGACCCGGTGTACCCAAGGTGGGGTCTCCAAGCAGAAGCTGGAGAGAGGATCTCTCCTTGCGGACAGCCTGGCGGAGGCCCTTGGCATTGTAGCCACGAGGACACCCTGCTGTCCCCTCTTCGACTCGTCACCGAGCCCCGGCTCAACACCCTGCTGTCCCCTGGTTGTCCCCAAGCAGGGCGGGCGGGTGGGATGCGGGCAGGGGGAAGGCACGTGGTGTCCCCTGCCCCGTCCCGACCGCAGGTCGCTCAGGCGGTTCCCAAACCGTGCTGCGCTGAGCACGGCGGAGTGGTTTGTGTCTGGAGGGAGGGGAAAGCCCCGAGTCCCCGTGCCCGGAGCCCTCTCGGTGCCCGTCTCTCCATGCCTAGCCCTGCCCGGCCTCCTCTGCAGCCGCGGGACATCTACACCATCGCCGGCCCTGCAATTAAGAAGCCGGTTTGTCCCCACCCTCAGCAAATAACCCCCCCTGTTTCCGAGCCAGCCCCGCTGCGGGGAGCTGCGCCGTGAATAGACCCCTCTGTGGGGGCAGGCGGGGAAGTGTTCACTCCAGTTTGAAAGCAAACAGCCCCGTTCAAAAGGACTCTGCGAACTGGAGTGAAAAACCACTCTTTCAAAAAGGGAGATGGAAAACTTTCCTCCCGGCGTGCTCCGAACGGCGGATCTCGCTGGTGGCACAGCCGGCCCTTAGTCTTCGGGGCAGGGCAGGGCTGCTGGTGGCTTGTCCTCTCCACCCGTCTCACCCAAGGGATGGAGACCTGTCCTGGTCCCTCTCCGTAGAGGGACAGAGAGGTTTTTCCAGGCGCTGGGGGTGGAGAGCCGCGTGCTGTAAGGAGAGCCGGCTTCAGGCCAGGCAGCGATTAGGCAGTGGGAAATAGGGATGGGGAAGAGGCTGATGGCGCCTGGCTGGCAGGGGACGGGCGAGGAAGGACCACCCCTGCTCTCCTCTCGCCCAGCTCCTCGCGAATCAGGGACAGGCGGATGGAGGAGGGGGTGCCCAGGGAAAGCCTGGGCTGGCGCTGGGTGAGGATGGAGACGGACAGCGGGAATGGCGTCGCGGCTTTCCCCGGGAGGAAGGCGACTCCTTCCAGCAAGCGCCGCACAATTACGCCGCCTCCCTAATAACGTCTTCCAAGGGCACCGCTCCCCTCCTCCGGGACGCTAATGAGTTCATCTAGGCAAAGTTTGCTAATTATTTCCTTGGCACTGTGCATCCTAACGGGCTGCGCTTTGCCGATGCTGCGGCTCTTCTCGCCGGGCTCTGCTTTCGGGGAGGGTCGGCTCTGCTCTTTGAGGGTGGCACAGTCCCTCCTTGCCCAAAGTACTGCATTTCCAGTCACCCGTCAGACTGGGCAAATATTTTGGATGAACAGAAAAGTCACTGTTTGGGAGAAGTCTCTCTCCTTGGCAGACGAAGGGGAATGAGTTTAGCTGGAACATTTTGAACCTCTGCTCCCCGGGAGAGCTCGCCAATATTTTTCTGCCTCCTCCTGCCCCTGCTTTCCTTTGCCATCAGCCTCGGAAGCTTTCACCTTGGTTTGGCAGTGCTTCACGTCCGAAATGAGACGTTTAGGTCTAGGGAGACCTCCTGCGAGCACGGCCGGGCTGGCCCCAATCCCCCCGTCTCTAACCTCTCCCTCCTGCTTCCTCGGCAGAGCGACGGGCAGGACTTGGACGGCTGGTTTTCCAGAGGCCGACGGTCCGACCGAGCCACCGCGCGCCCCAACCTCAACCTGACCAAGCAGGCTTTGCCCTGGAACGAGCAGGTGGGTGGGCAGGGAGGAGCGAAGGGGGGTGGTGGAGGAGGAGGTCCACCCAGCCCCTCGCTGGGGAGCCCGCAGCCCGTGCCCCCCCAGCATGCCGGGCTCCAGCCATCCTCCTCCTCCCTGCTCTCCATCACCCGTCCCAGGGGCTCTGCCTGCTCCTGGGGTCAACGTGGTGCCCGCGAGGACGAGCTCCTCGGGTGCGCGCCGTGGGTGTGTGTCAGCCCCCTCATCCGTCCCTGCGGGTGTGCAAGGGGACATCTCGCTGCGTGTCTTCTCTGTGTGGGTCCATGCTGCGCCCCTCTCTGGCGCTGGCTGTGTGCGGTGGGGATGGACGCTGGGGCTGCGTGAAGGATGGCGTCGGGCTTTTGGTGCCGTATCCGGACAGCATCCCTTGTCCGAGTGTGCTTGGGAGCCACAGGAGCAGCAGCAGGAGGTCATCTCCTGGGGGTTGGCGTTGTGACCCTGGGGCTGGCACAGGGATGGCGGCTCAGCCCTTCCTCAGCGGCACTGCAGAAGAGCTGAGGCTGGGCAGGTGACGTCCCAAGGGCTTGACATCCACGTTTCAGCCTGCCCTAACGCTGTCCTTGGGAGGTGAGGGGGGACGTGAGGAGGACACGCTGCTCATCTCCCTCTCTCTTTCCCCAGTACAAAGGGAAGGCAAACTTGCACGTCTTCGAAGACTGGTGCGGAGGGGCCGTGCAGCGGCACTGCAGAAGAGCTGAGGCTGGGCAGGTGACGTCCCAAGGGCTTGACATCCACGTTTCAGCCTGCCCTAACGCTGTCCTTGGGAGGTGAGGGGGGACGTGAGGAGGACACGCTGCTCATCTCCCTCTCTCTTTCCCCAGTACAAAGGGAAGGCAAACTTGCACGTCTTCGAAGACTGGTGCGGAGGGGCCGTGAGGCACCTGAGGAAGAACATCC